TCTTTTTTTTTGTGTTTCACATAACTTTTTATTTGACACTTCTAACTAGCACAAAAGTTTTACCGAGATACAAATCTCGGGTGAGTGAGTGTTTATTAATGTCAAAGTCAAATTCCAAAGCAACGCAAGAGCTGTTGGTGACGGCCCTCGTAATTTGGAACCGCGGTCAAGTGATGAGGACGAGCCGCCTTATTACTCTCCTAACTTTCACACCACACCTTGTGAGGGCTTTGAACCCCGACAGATTTAACGTGCATCAGCCCCTCTACAAACTTCGGCAAACTATTTAATCTATATCTAAAGGTTTCTGTAACCATGTGATTAACCCCTTGCGTACCATGTTACTACTAGTGGATACATGCTATGTATAGGGCAAATCCCATTGTAACCTCATGTAGATACATGGCTTATTTAGGTGTACAACCAGTGTAATCAGCACAGAAAACATTATTAGGTAGATTTTCTTTTACTGGGATTGTATAAAATTACAAAAGTTAAGTTACAAAATATGTCTGGATTACAAAAATTTGAAAAATAGGAAAATTAAAATTACAGATCTTTGTGAAATTGCTCGAAATGTTCCTTGGAAATAAAAGCTTTTCCACATGCGTTATATAAGTATATTGTCATTTTTGTTCCATTTCTTCATCTTGATCACAAATTGATAAATCCGTATCAGAGTCACTGTCGTATTTATCGGTTTCCGGCAAATATTCTGATTCAGTATTACTTTTATTGAAATCCAACAACTATGCCCTATTGGGGAAAAAAAAATTAAACTAATCATGCAAACTTTAGAAAGTGAAACGAAACACGAAGGAACGTGCGTCTTAATCAGCGTCAACAGGGAGAATGAAATGTGTACGTCGAAACGACAAGGTCAGTATCCTCAGAAATCTGGGATTTCTGGAGATACTAGAAAGCGCAGTCTCTGGTACGTAAGGGGTTAAAACTCCGACGGTCGACACTTAAGGATTATTCATTTTCTTGGTAGGAGTAATAATGGTGAAATATTTTGCATATTTAATCCAACTAACTGTTCCTCGAAGTCCTCAAATCGCTTGGTATACACGCTTGACGAGAGAGGTCTAATCTTAGTCGTAAATTTAAAATTTCAAAATTGTAAGAAATCCACAAAAAGGCTAACATATAAATTAACAGCCAATAGTTCATTGTTATGCTTTTATGAGTCTAGAATGCAGAAAAATTAGTCAATTTAAACCAGAATATCTATCAATTCGAAAATTTCAATACGGCATTAAGGATCTCGTTGAAAAATCACAAATAATAACAGAACGCTTTCTAATGATACATGTCGAAATGCAAAAGTAAAACCACTTAAAAATATATAAAATAAATCTGCTGCAATTTTTGAAAGAATTTCCGTCAGTAACAATAAATAATTTATCTCTTCTATGTAACATGCATTTAGATATGCTTTCTTAGAAAGAAATATTATTTTAAAAATATCTCTATAGCAAATACCACCAAATTCTTTTTCAGATTGTGCTTTTCATCTAATGAATATTTCTAAGTGGAGAAGTCGAAAGATGAATGATAAACAGTAAATGAAGTCAATTTGTATTTAGAACCGATTCAAGATACGAGAAGCTGAAATGTACTTCTATCTAGATACTGAATAATAAGCAAAAAGCAGCAATAAGTTTTTATAATGCCTTCTCTGATCATTAAAACAGAAAGTGATTATCATATTGTAAAAAGAGAGAACGAATGACTTAAGCATAATTATATAAAAAAGTAGATTTTTCGTTGTACTTTTTAATAGTCTTCTCAGTTTTTTCTTGTGGGAGAAAGACATTCGTTAATGGCATGGCATTTAATTTGAAAGATTATAAGGAGCGCATCGAATTTATAAACCCTTTTTTGATATTGCAGCTTATAAATATATCGACATTCTTTTGTATATAAATAGTCCACAAAAGAAACTGATGAAAAAAAAAATGAGAAAATAAATATCTTCGTGAACACATATTTGAAATAGTAGAATTGTCTTAGTTCTTCAAAAAGATGGTTATTCTGAAGATTTTATTCTACAAACTAAAACAAAGTAAAATCAGTTTTATATTTTAAAATTTCTTCCAAATTTTATTTATCCTGTATGTCTGATATAGTTTCTAGACTTTTGAGACTTTTTTTTAAAAAAAAAATCCGCTGATTTCTTATATTTTACAGTTGAATACATTTTAACTATAATTTAGTGGGAGTTCTAAAAGGAAATTAATATATGTCTGTTTATATTCTGAATTTTTTTCATTAGATTGAGTCAAAAAGTCAGCGTCTTTTAGTTTAAATATCTTCTTGAAAATTTTGTTTTATTGTGGTAAACGTAACTGATTACAACCCTTTTTCCACAGATAGATATTTGATAAAAAAATGCATAATTAATAACTTATATTGTTTTTCTTTAACCTTAGTAATATTTCTCAGTAACATTATAAAAATCTCGAAAACATAAAAAGAGATAAATAGTATAATTTAGAACTCTGAATGATACTGATTAGATATAAAAGACATCTTACATCGATTACTTTTTAGAATTTTGAATAACATCAACTGACACTTGGATATTTTGTTTTCATGTATTGAGCATGATTAGTGATCTTCTGTTTCAGATGTGAGACTTAAAGATGTGGAGGTTAACTCTTCAAATTCAGAGTCATACTAAGAGTTGAGAATTCTGAGGAAAACAATTTATATTTTATAAATAATCAGCATTTAACAAAATAAGATCATTTCTATTTAAAGGTAGAAGCTTCTAATGGCTTACAGATACTGCATGCGCGTTATAAAACTGTTGAAAGAGGAAGAGCATTGTTCATTTCTGTACTTACGCAGTGATGTGGAAGAATGATAAAGTAAATTGCCTTTTCTGAGAAATTTAAGATCTCTATGCACTTCTCTTGGAGCATTTTAATCCATTCTGAAATATTTTAGGGATACGATAGAGTTGCAGTAATCCTTCGTTCAGAGATAAGGCAAGGGATACTTATTTGAATTTATGTTTGTAAGTGTATCTACGGAGATGTTTGTGCCTAGAAAGGTTTCTAAGCTTTCCAATAAGGTATATATATATATGATTTTTGTAAGCATACCATTTTTATATACCATAAATGTGAGCTTTGTGTGAATATTAACTTCGTTGAATAACTATTTTTGTAAAATTACTTTGAATCCTGATTGTGAGAAATTGTGATCTGTGTTTGTTATGCTTTATTTAACATTTTTCTGTACTTTTCTTTTAGAATTATTTGTAAGCTTTTGAAGATAAATTAGTTTGATCTATTTGAGAATTTTTAGTATTTGTGTACTTATGATTTAATATTTGTGTACTTATTAATTTAAATATAAAAACTGTTAGAAAATTATTTATATATATCGCCTTTTAGGAAACATAAGACTAGCTTAAGCAAGCTTTCAAAGGATTCCATTGCTGAAAACCACATGATCTGTGGGAGAATTCAGAAGGTTTGAAAAATGATATTCTTTCCTCTGTATTCTTGAGAATTAGACAATATTCAAATGTAGACATTCTTTGGACACTGATTGAGAGCAACACTTTGAGAACTTTAGCTAAATATATACATACTAGCTGTTATACCTGTTCTTCGCACAGGTGAATTGAAAAAAAAGTATAGCAACCGAGGAGGGGGATAAAAAAATGTGAGTTCAAATTTTTAAATTATATTTTGAATAATTTTAAGTAAACTTCAAAACTATTAAGTAGAAAAAGCCACAGAGCATACCGATATCAAATTAATGTACCTAAAATATAAATTAAAGTAACTCTTAGCTTCAAAACTTCTTTAACATATAAGTCAAAGCAATTTACTTCAGGATAACCTTTATTCATCAAAAGATTGCAGCAGAGGCGCTCACAAAAATTTTTCAAGGAGGAGGGGTGTCCAGGGTCGAAAGTCCACCATTCTCGTATAATACCTCAATACGCCACCCAATGTATTGTTTTGATTTTGTCGATTTTGGGAATAAAAAACATAAACAGTAAATTATTGAATTAATAATTAGCATTAATTAATAAAATAAATTATAAAAACGAATACTTAATTAAATTTTAAGTACTGTATACATAAGATTATCATCAGTCGAAAAAAAAATCAAGGGCTATGTGTGTGTGTGAGGAAGGGAGGGTCCGGACCCGTGGAGTTCCTAAAACCCCGTTCTTAGAGCATCTCTACTAAATAAAAGATATATGTTTGCCAAATTTCAAGTCTGTAGGTCTTAGAGTTAAAAGATGGAATTTTTTATGTTTTTCGCTCATGCAACTTTTCTTGGGGTGGAATTTCGTAAAATTTGATCTTAGCAGATCTCTACTCAACAAAAGAAAAATGCCTTCAAAATTTCATGTCTTCAGGTCGAATAGCTCTGGAGATCTCGTGATGAGTGAGGAAGTCGACTCTTATATTTATAAATAGATGGTAAATATCCAGATGCCAGAAACATCGCGTAGGAAATGTATAAGTGGTATAGTATTATAAGGTCTTTCATTTGTTCTCAAGTGATTCCTGTTAACAAATTCTTGACTTGATTATGGTCACACAACGGTAATAAATAGACTTTAAACGGGAATTTCTAACTAGAGTCAAGCGCATGGAGCATTGTATTTCGGAGAGAATTGTTAGGGAATTCAACATTCCTCGAGCCACAGTGTCAAGAGTATGCCAAGAATAAATAATTTCAAGTATCTTTCACCATGGACAACGTAGGGGCTTATTTCGTCTATTTAATGTCCGAGATCAGTAAGATCTCCGTAGAATGGTCAGTACTACTATACAATCAACAATGCGTCTAATAACAGCAGAAATCAATATGGTGCATACGATGAACGTGTCCACGGGGACAATGTTGCAAAATTTAGTGTTGATGAAGTATTGCAGCCCAAGAACTATTCGCGCCCTTTACTAGCAATTCATATTTGACTGCAGTGTTTCTTTTATAATAATGATCATATCGGTTGGACCCCCGCCCCTTCTAGTATAGTGGTTATGATACTCGGCTTGTAATCGAGCGGGTTCGGGTTCAAATCCCGAGTAAGGCATGAATGTATCTTCGGGAAAAGGAATCGGACTTTCGCCTGAAATGGATTCCCGTCTTGTGAAAGGAAATCAGCGTACCTCTTCTCTGTTCTTTGCTGGGATCATTGCTTGTAATAAAATCTGTATTCTTCTGTGACTGTGTTATATGTTTCTGTTCATCTACCTCACGTTTTTCGTATGTATCCCACTAATAAACACACAACAAAAACAACATCGGTTGGAACGAAGAAGACTAGAAAACCATTGCTTGGTCAGATGAGTCACGATTCCAGTTAATAACAGCTCACAGGCCTCAAGTATGGTGCAGATCCTACAAGAGCATAAGCCCAAATTGTCAACAAAGCACTGTGTATGCTGGCTATGTCTTCAAATACATATGTGCTCTTTCATATAGTATGACCTGGGTCCCCTGCCAAACTATGCCAATCGTGGGAAATGGTTATTTTTATCCTCTTTACAACTCTTCATGCACCTAAAAACAATGGAATTTCCCAGATTACAATATTCATCACGCCATATTAACAACAACAAAAAAAAAAAAAAAATATGTGCAATTGGTTTTGGTTTGAAACAATTCAGGAAAAAAATTCCAGCTAATGATTTGGTCACTAGGTTCATGCAGAACAATAGACATGCAATTTGTAAGAGCCATGATTAAGAGGTCCAATCACACTCACACGCACACGTGATCAAAAGTATTAGGACACTGGTATGTTTTGCTTTCCTCTCACATAAGTAAAAATTAGTGGGATTTTGGTTCATCTTTTGCAGTAATAACATGTCTCCGGAGTTTTGTTGAATTTTATACCACTTTAAGCGACGCTTAGCATTGACTGTGACTCGGAACGATGTATCATTGTATATAGAGGCTTCTTAGAGTTACCAAAGAATTTTTTTTTGGCGAATTCAAGCGACTGTTTTCACAACTATCTTCAGCGCTCTGCATTCCCTAGATAACATGTTCTACCAGATCGTGATTGCACAATTATAGCCCTTCCACATTTACATTTTGGGATAACGTCATGTTCTGTAGAATGAGACACTCCAAGCACAGAAAGAATGTGTTACAAACAGACACTCCACAGCAGTTACAATCGATCACTTTACCACATTCATAGTCATTTAACTTGCGCTTTCCTCCCAATGTACTTTTTTAGTTGTGAAATTACCATTGCAAATTTGTCTGAATTCTTTTATTCCTGTCTGCGAACTAGCAACTCGAAGTCACTAGCTGAATTTACTATTTCGAGGTGGGTCCAGATACTTTTGATCATACAGTGTATATATATATATATATAAATATTTTGTATTGTTCTTTCAAAAAGAACATAGAGATTCTTGGTATATTTTATTTATAGAAACACAAAACATTTGTTAAAGCCAGCTTTTTTATATGAATTTTGTGGACTTTAATTTTGGTAAGAATTATCTACTTTTTAAGATATACTTTTTATATTACTCGTATATTCTTAAATTTTAGACCAATTTGTGTTTTAATTCATATTTGTTATTCCATGTACATGTACATGTACATTTTACTGTAATTTAAGGAATTCTATGCATCTGCTTATGTGAATTTCAAATTCTTTTTAATTTAATGCAGTTTCTTTGTCCCTGAATATGTCTTTCTTTTTCATTTGAAAATGATAGTCATTTGAAATAATATATAATTTTTTGATGTATTAATTGATATTGCAAAACAGTTTCTTTTTCAGTGTAAATAAATTTTCCAACTGTAAATTTTTCTCCTTTTCCTTTGTAAATTTTCTTCGTAAACAGAAAACTTTTATATTACATATATTTTTTATTTATCGTTAAAAGTTACTTTACTCTGAATATATAGTTTCTAATTACATAAAAAAAAGAACCATTTTTATTATAATAATATAATTAAAGATCTAATGAGAGAGAAGAAACATTCTAAATAGATTTATTCATTCCTATTTATGAAAGTTGGTAAATTTCATGCAGACAGTTTCCTTTCACCTGAATGCATAATATGTTTTTAGTGTTTATTTTTGCATTAGATCGCAGACAAAGAACTTTAAGACTCAAGTTCGCTTCCAAGAAAATTGGAACCATTCTTATTGACACTAATTTGTTCATTTAAGTAAACCTTTCTCAAGTATTTGATCAGATGAAGAAGGTAAAACCCAGTGTGCCTCGAAAGGAATTAACATCAGTCACATTCTTAAGCTTTTTTATGTGAATTAACGAGGAGATTAAGGCCTCCGTAACCAAAATTAGAGGTTTCCGAAATCAGACAATTATAGTAGCGATCAAAAATGTGACTAAAGCCATGTTACATGCAAAAGGAGGAAATTATATTCCGCCTTACTGTCGTAGTTGACTGATTGTGAATACAATGATTGATTGATTGGGGTCTACATAAGCAAAACTAATTGAGCTATACAGGAAAAAGACTGGTAGAGAATCAACTCTGAGCTGTAACTAAAGTTACTCTTCATTCTCAATTGAAATTAAGGAGTTCAGAAATAAAAAAAATTCATACAAAAACCCTGATAATCTGTTTATGATAGTCTAATTGCTTTGGGAGTTTGCACGATAGAGATTTGTATAATACAGAAATATAGAAAGAGAAAATTTAAAAAAAAATCATGACATTTATAAATTTGGATACATCCAAGTTATAAATCTTAGTCACAAATTGAACAATATCATACAAGAGTCGTTAGAATTCAAAGAATTATTAATAACAAGAATACATTATTTTGAAACCTTTTCTTGCAATTTTGTGTAATTTTTTTGTGCCCATAGAGTATTTCAAGTTCATTATGTATTACAAGTAATTCAAATTTTTAAAATAAATGAATAACTTTAGCCATGGAGACTTTTGAAAGCCTTTATTAGTTTAAAATTAAAAACAAAACAATCAAAAAACTAAAATTAAAGAAAAAGAGAGTAAAATTTCCATCCGAATGAACGGAAATTCTTCAGAAACTCATTGCTGCTAGAGAGATGATAGTAGTAATTGATTCCATATCAAATGTTCTGATTTAAAAGTTAAAATTCTAAACACTTCCAAAAATTGCAAACAATTTATTTAGCTAAAAACTTAAATTAAGAAAAGCATTAAATTAAATAAAATTTAATAAGAAACAAAATGTGGTACAAAATTTCATTCAAATAAACACCAGGGTTACTCACCAAATTATTGTGTTAGTTGTTTAACTCTTTATGCCCAAATTATGAATTAAAAGGAATATCTCCTTAAAACATTTTTTGATTACGTTATAAAAGCATATAGATTTTTATACAATAATAATAAAAATTTAAAAAAAGTTTTATTAATTAGAGCTATTAAATTAAATGGGTACTTTTTAATACTGTTGTTTATTTAGTTGAGTCTCTAAAATTGAATATATTTCGGTACTTTGAAAATGAAGAAACTTTATACTTCAATGCAATTATCTTAATACCATGTATAGTAAAATACCTACACCTATTCTCGATGAAAATCCAGAAAATCATTTTTT